CTGGATGCCGTATCTTCTGGCGGATGTGTGTGTACAGTTATAATTAAGTGATACACATAAACGGGCGCCCCAAACCTCGACTTCACTCACTCCCCAGTTTATCCGTATCCGTATTCGTATTCGTATTCGTATTCCAATTCGTATCCCAGGTCTCAGTTTCTGTTTAATGATTGTTTTCAATTAGTCTGTTCGTTTTCCGCGGCTTTGATACCCGGCTATTGGCGGTGGTTTCGAGGTATACCATTTTTTACTGTTTCGTGGATCATATTACCCAAAGAGTGATTAATTCACAGTTGACCTGCTCGAAAACAAATCATTTGTTTTTTTTGACAATTCAATTGATTTAATCTATCATTTATAAAGTCAACTTAAACTCTAGTTTATTTAAGCAATTTTTTAACTTTGTTAACCAATTTGTTTAGGTATATAAGCAGCTAACTTTTGATTTTAAAATATTGGTTGGTAAAATTTGTAATATACATTTTACTTTGTGCACAAATGCCCATTTGTGGTTTCAAATATATTTTAAAAACCACTAAGAACTGGGTTTTAAGCGGAGTTTGTTTATATATGTTAAAGAGAACCACACAATACAAAAGAAAAATTGATAAGACTGTATATATAAATATTATATATACATATATTTTAAATTTTTATTAAATTATAATAGTGTGTAAAGTGTACTCGTTCTTCATGGAGTTTCTTTAAGGACATAATTGTCAAATCATTTTATGAGGTATCTCCAAGTCGAAACTCTAATTTCCCCGGCTTGACCAAGATCTTTTGGTTCTTTCTGACAAACAAACGCGAACACCAGAAAAACCGAGGCACTCACTCAGTGAGACACTCACTCAATCTCTGACTCACTCACCGATCAAAAGTGCGGGGGCGTTGGAAAGGTTTTCGGTTGTTTTGTTTTTTTGTTTCCAAAATGGTAGGGGCTGTGACTTAAAAAAAGAAAAACGATTGAGTAAATCCGGTATGGAGCGCCTTTTAAGTGTTTACGCTTGTTTTATTAATTCCCATCATACATCTTCGACTGTCAGCGATCATGAACATCTTTGACTTCACCTTCAACATCATCAACCACATTCAATGATCATTCGTTAACGATCTGCCAAAACAGAACTAACTCAAAAAAATTAGCCCATTGTTGATCATGCGAAGTATTCAACACTGAGCACATATTTAAATAAATTGTGAATAAATACATACACAACAACTATTAATATTAACTTACCTAAAAAACATTAAGATGTATTCTTAACTCATTTTACCATGAAAGTGGACTTAAAAATTGTGGCATATTAAAGTCACAAGAATAATTTTGATGCTTTGAAATTTACTTGTAATTTATTTAATATATCTTCACAAAAACTAAGCATTAAAAAAGTATTTATTTTTAACAAAAAATTAGATTCAATATCGAAATTTACTTTGATAGGTCGAATGATTAAATGTTTTTAACCTAATGAAGTTTTTTTTGAAATCTATGTCAAGCTAAATATGATGAGTTGAAAAAATCTTAAAACGCAATGCTTAAAAGATGTCTTTAACATTGAAGGCTGCTGTGCTTGATAGTTAATGCTTTTGGCTATTGGCTGTCAGTTACTTTCGGGACTCGGTTTCCGGTCTCCCACAGTCCAGACCCAGATCTGCCAAAGACAACTGGGCCGGATGACGGCCACAGTGCAGTCAATTGACCGCTAACTGTTGCAGGACTCCGCGCCAGTCCATGTCCTTCGAATTTGTGGCAGCCACAACGTGTGGCAGACAGCTTAAGACGCTGCCTGACAGGATGTCCACACACTTGCCGCACTCAGCGAAAAAAAGGGGGAATTTAGAGCTGGAAAATCCTCGTTTTTTTGAATATTTTCTAATCGCAAAAAAAATTAAATTATAAAATCACTGAAAAACCATGTCTATAAATAAGAAATGGTATTTTTCCATTGAAAAAACTCCAAGTAAGTTTCACCATGATTTAAGGAAATCTTTATAAAGTGTTGATTAGTAAAAAAAATATATTAATTATATTATTATATTATTTTTATTAATTCTATAAAGTTGTATAATATTCATAAAAGAAAGCCAAATAATAGTTGTAAGCCATTTTTTATAAGGCACAGATTGACAAATACATTTAAAAAGAAATCTGTTGGTTTCTAGAAGCTATTTCCTTTTATGAGATATGTATGAATATCATTTTTTAGCATTCCGGACTGATTTTTTATGGTGCAGATAACGTTGGGGCCGGAATGTGGGAGTGGGTCAGGGAAAAGGCCGTGTCGTTGACAGTCGTCATGCGCAGCTACTTAGACGGACATAAAATTATGATTACAGCAAATGCCATATGCTCCACATGCCACTCCCCCTTTGAAGGAAAAAAAAATAAAGTAAGGAGGGACGGAAAAATCCGAGGCAATTCATTACAATAAGCTCACGAATATGCCATAAAAATGGCAGCTCTCTTTCTGCGGCTCTGCACTCGAAGCATGAAATTGGCAATTCCAATCCGGTTTTAGTTGTAAAAACTTTCATGATCCCCACATTAATAGAATATGCCATGTACTCCGCTCAGCCAGCCCCGATAATCTCTCATCTTTTGGCAAGGCCATTATGGATTGTTCCCACCGCAGGTCCGTGATCCACTTTGGGTCCTTTGTGCGATTATCTGCTGAGTTTATTCTAAGACTAAGAAGTCTTAGTGCCAGCATTAAAGGTTGAGCTAAGTGTGGCTTTCTTGGGCGCCTTTCCAGGTTCACATTTAAGCCTTGGAATCTGTGGAAAGCATTGCCAGTAAATATTCTTTATCTGCACTTAATAATTTTATCAACACTTTCTTAAAAAGTATTATTTTAATATTAAACGGTTTTTTAGGGGGATCCACTAATTTCAGTTTATGTACTTTCTTAAGATTATAAAGTCTTTTTTACAAGTAAAAAAATATAAAAGCATATTTTATCTATTACACTTAATGACATTACTACAATATTGTGTTTTAAAATTTGACCTAACTTAATCTCTAATACTGATCAATATGAAAATGTATAAAAAATCAATGGCTTGTATGAAAGTAAGACCTTGGTTTTAATTTAGTTTTTGTAACCACAACTCCTTAAGAGCCGCAAAAAGTTGGCTTCTTTTTGGTCCATATTTTAAATACTCCTGACTTAATTAGCCCCAAAATCTCCACCAAATTAAGACTCTCGTACTTCGTAACAGTAATTTAGTGTAAACAAACCACTTGACTATCTCTCGTTTCCCGGCGAAAATCGACTCGTTCCCGCCTCACTTTTTAAGCCTCAGCCATTGTTTGTGCTCCATGGTTTCCATTCCATTCAGATGAATATCCCCAGCATCGGATACTCGCGAGGAGCTGTTGGAGTTCCTGGAGCTCCGCAATCATTAGCTGTAACATTAGCGTCTGTCTTGCGGTGGAAACTTTCGGCTACCTGAAACGCTTTTCCGCTTTTCCTGCCCCCCACCTTGGACCGCCTCGGAAAATCCACCGAAATGTGAAAGAAGTATGGTACAAGTCGTGGCGAAACTGAAAGCAAGGAGAGGAGATCCAATGGCAATGGTTAAACCTATAAAACCACGTAATCTCCAAGCGAGTTCTTTAATTATGCTGCACACAGCCACTGGAACTGGAACTGGAGCATCAGGTGGCAGGTGGCAAGTGGAAAAAGTCGGTGGAAATGTGGGGGCGGAGGCGGCAAGAGGGCGTGGCAGGACACACAAACAGGCCTGAAGGACGAGAAATGCAGAGGAGCAGAGCAAAGCAAATGCGAGGCGAAAGCCGCTTACAAAACCGCAAAATGCTACGGACATCTTTTTGCCAGATGGGTGGGGTAAAGGGGGGTGTTTTTGGAAATCCAAGAGGGGTAAGGGGGGGGGGTGAAATGGGGGGGTAGGAAAAAGGAGAATCCAATGGCCACCAAAGGCAGCCATTTTGAAGTTTGGCGCTGCGGCTTTGGTGTCTCCACATCTGCCTGGGATTACAATGAAGCTGCACTTGTAGATGAGATACGAGACTGTGGACGGCAAAGATGGGAAAGAGACGGAGGGTGCGACTGAAAAAGAGACCGACATACAGACAGAACGACAGACGGGCGCTGATAAACAAACAAACTGCGATCCGGCGAACACGGATGCCAATGCGAAACCATTTTGAGGATTTAATTGCCGTTAACATGAGGCGAACTTCATTTTACTCCGTACTCCACGAACACAAGGAAAAATCCAAAAGAAACTATCAAATATCATTAAATTCTGATTGAAATGAAACTGAAAATTAATAAGTTCTTAAAGTACTAGTATTCGGCTTTATAAAAACATATGTTTGTTTTTTATTTTAATTATTTGGGTATTTTAAGTATATTTTCGTTTGCTTTAAATAATGGCAAAACTTTTTATATCTTATGCATATATCTTTGATAAGGGCCCAAAATTTTGTAAGACCTTTTCGAGGCTTTCCAATATTTTTTTAAGTGCATATTTTGCTTTTTGTCTGGACGGGTTTCGGGTAACATGAGCTTCAAAGAGTGCTGTAGTCCAGCCGGAGATTAGAGGGCAAACGTTGACATTGTGGAGGTTCCTTCGGCGCTGTATTTCCCGAACATTCCAAACTCCCGCAAAAAAAGGACTTCACCCACTTTTGTCACCCCAAAAATTCCGCTTGATGGATTTAAGTCGGGAGTCGATGACAGAAACAGCACACAGGCGAATAACCCAAAGAAAAATATGATGTTAAGTCAGGTTAAATTCCCGATGCTTTTTTTATTATTATTCTAAGCAAATAACTTTAGAGAAATAAATTGAGAGCTTTGAAAACATGAAAAGTACTGCTAAACAATTAATAAATGTGTATATTTCCCAAACATTACATTTTATAAAGTTTTTTTTTGAATTCCTAAATTAATTTCTAAACTCTTTTGAATGTCAAAATTCGAGATGATTTTTAAAAGTAGCTTGTTCAAATATATATTTACTGGACTTACCCATTTGAGTCGCCTGGTGACAGAGGCTTTAGCTGCTGATCTGTGCGGAGGTTATCGCTGAGAATATAATCTGTAAGAAAATAACATGGAAAAAACATAATGTAGTAAGCCGGTTTTAAGTAGTAAAAAGCTTTCGAAACTTGTCCCAAATGTTAACGCTTAACACAAGTGTAACATTGTCCTGGAAGCGCTGTTAAGGCTAAACTTTCCGAATAGGACGAAAAGCTTTGGCCATTTCGAAAAACATAGTGTGCTTACGAAACTGTACCAAAAAGCTTAGGACGAAAAGCTTGGGAGATTTTATGAAATTTCCCTGCTTTTTATTTCCTCCATGACTGAAATGTTCCTTTTGCTGTTTGAATTAAGAACAAGCAGGTGTCTTAAACAAACAAATCAAACAAGAAATATTAAAGCAAACTCTAATTCTGGGTGTCTAGCATGATATATTGAAATGAATAATCGGAACAATTAAGTTATTATATTGGCCTATATTAGTTTTCATATTTGCTTAAAATGCTAATATTAAGAATCAGATATATAGTAATACATATTGTAACCGTAATGCGCGTCACTTTTAGTTGTTATAAAATCATTTTAATGTGTAGCACCTTTTAAAAGTTTTAATTAAACTTTGACTCATTAAAATTATGGAAAATTTTGGTAAGATAAGAGATTATTTCTCTGATTTTAATAGTTTTCTTTTCACATCCCTATAGTCAATTCTATTTAAGCTATTTAAACTCCACCTTCTGCTAATTTAATTAAGAAACTGATTTCGAATGCATTATTTCAAGCTCTCTGTTTCTCAACTCAATTTATGAGTTCATATTAAGTCAATATTTTTTTACTAAGGATAACTGCTTCAAATCTGTGATTAAATACAGAAAACTAATTGCATTTCATGTTAGTTATTTCATGTAAGTTTTTCGTTGATTTGCAAGTGAGTGGTCAAATGTCACCCACAATTAAATAGTCGATCATTTTACCAAATTCAAGCCGATTTAAAAGTGGCACACTTTTTAATACTTGTAGTTTGATTCTTTAATAATCTGCATTCAAATTTGTAAATTTAAGGTTGATCAATATTTTTACACTTGCAAAAGGGTGACCCCAAAGTGGACTTGTGGAGCTCATGACTTTACCAAATTTAATCCGATTTGAAAGTGACGTACCTCCTAAGACTCGTGGTTTGATTCTCTAAAAATGTGCATTCAAAATTTTCATTTTAACGTTAGTCAAATTTTTGACCCATTTTCATGTTAGTTATTTCCAAGTTTCCGACAACTTGTTAAGGGTGACCCTAAATTGGACTTCTAGAGTTCATAACTTTACCAAATTTAATCCGATTTTAAAGTGACATACCTCCTAAGACTCGTGGCTTGATTCTCTAAAAATCTGCATTCAAAATTTTCATTTTAACGTTGGTCAAATTTTTGACCCATTTTCATGTTGGTTATTTTTAAGTTTCCGACGACTTGTTAAGGTTGACCCAAAATTGGACTTCTAGAGTTCATAACTTTACCAAATTTTATCCGATTTTGAAGTGACATACCTCCTAAGACTCGTGGTTTGATTCTCAAAAAATCTGCATTCAAAATTTTCATTTTAACGTTAGTCAAATTTTTGACCAATTTTCATGTTAGTTATTTCTAAGTTTCCGACGACTTGTTAAGGGTGACCCTAAATTGGACTTCTAGAGTTCATAACTTTACCAAATTTTATCCGATTTTAAAGTGACATACCTCCTAAGACTCGTGGTTTGATTCTCTAAAAATCTGCATTCAAAATTTTCATTTTAAAGTTAGTCAAATTTTTGACCCATTTTCATGTTGGTTATTTTTAAGTTTCCGACGACTTGTAACAGGTTGACCCAAAATTGGACTTCTAGAGTTCATAACTTTACCAAATTTTATCCGATTTTAAAGTGACATACCTCCTAAGACTCGTGGTTTGATTCTCTAAAAATCTGCATTCAAAATTTTCATTTTAACGTTAGTCAAATTTTTGACCCATTTTCATGTTAGTTATTTCTAAGCTTCCGACAACTTGTTAAGGGTGACCCTAAATTGGACTTCTAGAGTTCATAACTTTACCAAATTTAATCCGATTTCAAAGTGACATACCTCCTAAGACTCGTGGTCTGATTCTCTAAAAATCTGCATTCAAAATTTTCATTTTAACGATAGTCAAATTTTTGACCCATTTTCATGTTGGTTATTTTTAAGTTTCCGACGACTTGTTAAGGGTGACCCTAAATTGGACTTCTAGAGTTCATAACTTTACCAAATTTAATCCGATTTCAAAGTGACATACCTCCTAAGACTCGTGGTTTGATTCTCTAAAAATCTGCATTCAAAATTTTCATTTTAACGATAGTCAAATTTTTGACCCATTTTCATGTTGGTTATTTTTAAGTTTCCGACGACTTGTTAAGGTTGACCCAAAATTGGACTTTTAGAGTTCATAACTTTACCAAATTTTATCCGATTTTAAAGTAACATACCTCCTAAGACTCGTGGTTTGATTCTCTAAAAATCTGCATTCAAAATTTTCATTTTAACGTTAGTCAAATTTTTGACCCATTTTCATGTTAGTTATTTCTAAGTTTCCGACGACTTAAGGGTGACCCAAAATTGGACTTCTAGAGTTCATAACTTTACCAAATTTTATCCGATTTTAAAGTGACATACCTCCTAAGACTCGTGGTTTGATTCTCTAAAAATCTGCATTCAAAATTTTCATTTTAACGTTAGTCAAATTTTTGACCCATTTTCATGTTAGTTATTTCTAAATTTCCGACGACTTGTTAAGGGTGACCCTAAATTGGACTTCTAGAGTTCATAACTTTACCAAATTTTATCCGATTTTAAAGTAACATACCTCCTAAGACTCGTGGTTTGATTCTCTAAAAATCTGCATTCAAAATTTTCATTTTAACGTTAGTCAAATTTTTGACCCATTTTCATGTTAGTTATTTCCAAGTTTCCGACGACTTGTTAAGGGGGACCCTAAATTGGACTTCTAGAGTTCATCACTTTACCAAATGTAATCTGATTTCAAAGTGACATACCTCCTAAGACTCGTGGTTTGATTCTCAAAAAATCTGCATTCAAAATTTTCATTTTAACGTTAGTCAAATTTTTGACCCATTTTCATGTTAGTTATTTCTAAGTTTCCGACGACTTGTTAAGGGTGACTCTAAATTGGACTTCTAGAGTTCATAACTTTACCAAATTTTATCCGATTTTAAAGTAACATACCTCCTAAGACTCGTGGTTTGAATCTCTAAAAATCTGCATTCAAAATTTTCATTTTAACGTTAGTCAAATTTTTGACCCATTTTCATGTTAGTTATTTCTAAGTTTCCGACGACTTGTTAAGGGTGAGCCAAAATTGGACTTCTAGAGTTCATAACTTTACCAAATTTTATCCGATTTCAAAGTGGCATACCTCCTAAGACTGGTGGTTTATTTCTCTAAAAATCTATAATTTTAACGTTTATTCAGTTTTGAATTGAAGTTGGCTTCCCTGGCTGTTTATGGGACAATGTTTTTTTTTGTGAAAATGAGAAGACTCAACTCACCCTTCTGCAGCTGGCTGGTGGGGATGAACTCCTCGTGCTTCTGGTCGCCCTTCTCCTCGTACTTGAGCTTGTAGTCGGAGTGCTTGCGTAGGGACATGAGGAGCGACTGGGTGCGAGGCGGGATTTCCGGGGGTGCCGGTTCCGGCGGCGGTTCCTCGGACTCCCCGCCGCTGCTGCAGTGGCCCATGTCCAAGGATCCCAGGACGAACTCATCGTCGCCGCTGTCCTCCGGCGGCAGCAGTTGCTGCTTCACCGCGGCAATCTGTTGCTGCTGCTGCTGTTGCTGCTGGGCGATTTGGAGTTGCTGGTGGGTCTGGGAATCGCTGCTGGAACTGGTCATTCCGCTCAAGCGATTCACCGCACTGCGGTTGCGGTGGCTGCGATTACTTGAGGCCGCCGTCGAGGAGGAGGCCGAGGTTTTCAGGATGTTTTCCAGGGCGTTTTCCTCGCCGGAAAACTTGGCGCTCAGAAAGGGATTTGTGCTGCGCGGCGTGTTGGCTGTGGCTCCATTTTGAACGCTGCTGCCGCCGCTGCTGCTGCTGTTGGGGAATAGGCCCAGATTCGCGTTCGATTGGTATTTTCCCGCCGAAACGGTGGACACCTTCAGTGGTGACCCCAGCGAGGAGCGCTGCTGGTGCGGCTGCGCGTAGGTCACCTCGGGGGCGGCCGTCACCGTGGGCGGGGCATCGCCCAGGGCGTGTCCTCCAGGTGGCGATCCCGTTGTCTCAGGTAATCCGGCTCGCAGTCCGAATTATAGTGCTCCATGCCTGCAAATGTAAAAGAGAATCAAAACATTAGATTAATTCAGTATAAATATATTTTGGCTTTGAGACAGATATATAACTTCCCATTATAAAAACTTCGACGATCTTGTTATTCTAATAATATGTATATTATATATCTGGACAGATAATCATAAGACAAGCAAGACAATTTTGGGTAAAAATATGAGAATAACTGCTGTTAATTTAAGTGAAAATTTGTTTAACCATTAAAAAGAAAAAACAATTTCGTTCATAATTTTTTTAGATTGAGATTATTTTAAGGAACAAGTCTATTGTTAAAATTGATACTGACTTCTTTAAGTATTACATTGAAAATATTGTTTTACCAAAGCTATTGTGCAAGGACCGCTATTTAGAAATGTGTTCAAAAATGTGTACTTAAATCTATAAATTTATAAAGAGAATGGTTTTTTTAATAAGGTGTTTTGGGTTAACTATGAGACTTTTAAATTTGTTCTATTAATTTAGTTTCTTTTTGTCTTGAAAATTTACAAATTAGCTTCGTCGTGGTACGATGTTCTTTTAGTATCGATTTTAATAACACTATCTCTTTGTTCTGAAGAACATAAAATAAATATAAATATTAAATAATAAAAAAGTAAATAAAACTAAAAATTAAACTTTCAAATTTTCAAACAGTTCTTAATTTGCAAAAGAGAAATTTATATACTGAACTAAAACAAGTATGGTTTTTTTAGCAATTGTTGTTTCATACTCGAATGAAATTTGATGGAAAAGGCTGGTTCTAGAGAATCCACAAAATTAAGAGCTCCATGTTTCCATGTTCTCGTGTTCACTACACTGCGATCAAATATTTGAGCATTTGCTCTCTGCGGAGACCAACATTTGCAATTTGCACGCCGCAGGAGGCAGCTTCTGTTTTTCTTTTGCCGCGTGGAAACTGGGAAAAAGGGAAAGCTGGCTTTTCAATTTCCCCGCAAGAGTAACGGCCGGCAAACAATTTGCGAGGAATCGTCGCGTCCGTCCGAGCGTTATTAGGTTGTAAAAAATGAATCGTAAATTGCATTAAATATTAACAGACAATAAAATGAAACGAAACAAATGCAGGCGGGCCGTAAAAAGAGCGTTTGCCTCGGTAGTCGCTGCGATTTGCGTTTTATGCTTCGATTAAGTTCGCTCCGGGAAAGTGGGCGTAATAGTGGGGGGGGGAAATGGGGCGGAAAAGTGGGCGGACAGAGGGATAATGCCGAAGAGGATGCGCCATTGTATCGGCCATTAGGCTGGCGCTGCCAACTTGATTGTAATTGAATTGCACACTGCTGACGTTCGCGGTGCTGCCATCAGAGTAATGTCGAGCACAGTGAAAACTCGCAGTTAAATGACGGTTTGGTGATACCTCATTCGTGCTTTTTATTTCCTTGTAAAAAGGATCCAAGTTGTGTGCAACTTAGTTGCAAATATAAAAAGTATAAAGATTCTTTTTTTGTTTTTTACGTGGGCTGTATAAATTAAATCTTTAACTAAGTTTTCTTGAATTTATAAATCAATTTATAAATTGCATAATAATGTCTTGAATTTGAAAAAATAAATAATTAAATGAATTTCGTCTTAAAAAAACTTTAACAAAATATAAAATGTCTTTCTCAAAATGTGTGTAAGTCTAGAAAATATAACCAATTAAAAAAAATTATGCGAATTTTACTAGGGGCTTAATTGTTTAAATGTTTTTGTGATGACAGGCTAATTAAATTCAATTTTCTTTGAAAAAGATTTAAGCAAGATTAAAATTTATCAAATACAGTGATATGCAATGGAGTTGTGTTTTCTCCTGTCAGCTTCACTGTGGCTCATCGGTTACATCGGATGGTTTACTGAATTCAATCAGAGAAATGTCAGGGGTGCCCACATCTCCCCTCACCGCTTAAGTTTTACCCCATCCCGCCGATTTATCCCGGCATCTTGGCCAGCTCCATTTCAATGGTCGCAATTGGAATCGATTTGTGTGCCAGGACCTAAGCCAGTCGGCTAGTTGGTTACTTGGTTACTTGGTTACTCGACATCTTCGACACAGATGCGGCAGCTGAATAATTCAATTAAATTAAATAATGAATATTTACCAGCTTGACCGACTGGGTAAATCGCATTTGTTTCCTAATATCTGTCTTATGAAAAACCTTCGGACTACACTGGGCCAAACAAAGGGAAACTCTTATTTTACATTGCTTAATGGATATAGATTGTTTATTGTTAAATTGTTAATACAAATGTTAAGGGCATATTGTTGGTAATTAAATTTATTATCTTAGAATTGTGTTATATTGATTGGGCCTTTAAAAATGTTTGAGATCAAGTAAAAACAATCGACTGATTGAAAACTATATTAAAAACTATTTTTTTTCATGACTAGTTGCAGAGAATAGTAATATATGTTTAGTATTAGGTAGATTCGTATTCAAATCAACTAATTATTTTATAAAAAGGATTTTTGAAAGGTACCCCTTGTTTCTCCTTTTAATAACGGATATAACACACATTTTTTAACCCATCCTCTTTTTTTGTTTTATTTTCTGTATAGGTTTAATATTAAATATCACTAGGAATATTTTTGTTTGGATTTGAATGAAAATATTTTTATGAATAGTTATATGCAGTAGGTATTCACTAATAAGGGGTTAAGAAAAATAACAATGAATTGCACTTTAAAGGCAGCTATCTCCTGCAGATTTAAAACTCCCGAGTTGGGTTATTTCAATACATTTCTCTGAGTGTATCCGCCGGGGTACTCACTTGCCAATTGCTGACTCTGCAGCAGCAGCTGGGCGAGCAGCTGGGTGTCGAAGGCCGTGGCCTGTCCGGTGTTCTGGTACTCGTCCTCGCTGCTGCTCCCATAGCCGTGACCCATTCCGTGACTGAGGCCGTGACCGAGGCCGTGACCCAGGCCGTGGCCGTGACCGTGACTGTGACGGCCGTGACTGTGCCACTCGGCGGATCGCTGTCGTCGCAATTGCTCCCCCCCGCCAATGCCAACGCCCCCATTGCCCGATCCTGGAAGTCCTGCGAGTCCTGCCAATCCGCCGGAAGCGTAGTAATACTCGCTGCCGGCAGCACTGCCGCTGCCCGCCCGTTTACGGCCCATTGTGCCGGAGTGACTGCTGGACATGATGACCGCCTGGAGGACGGAATAGCCGGATGCGGTGGATTCGAACTAGACAGGTGCGCCTCGTGGGGCAATTTGTCCGCCGGATTTCTCAACGGATGACGACGACGATGACGATGACGATGACCCAATGGCCGCTGTCAACGCAGCATTGCTCCAGCTCCAGATCCAGTCCATGTGGACCACCACCACCAGCTTTAAGTGCTTAACCGAATTAACGCTGAAACGATAAAAACGACAAAGTGTCAGAGAGGAGAAGATAAAGCCATAAATGCACGAAAATGAAAATAAATAGCAGCCGGTGCCAGGATATCGTAGCAACATCACCACCCCCCCTTCCCACCCCACCTCGGTACTTTCACTTTGACTTCTGGACGTAAAGTGAACTTAATAGCAATTGCAGGGAGGCATCCCATTTCCATTTCCAGTCCCCGAAAAGCCAGTGCTGAACACTTATATGCATTACAAAAAGTAGCCAAGTGAGGTATAGCTAAAATGGCTAATTTTGTTTATTACTAAGATAAATAGTTCCCTACCCATCAGATATATTCTGTCTAAGTCAGAATTAATAAATTAAAAGGTTTATAGTGTGGCACATAACAAATATTAACAAATTAAGATAAAGAATCAAAAACACCAGGTAAACTAAAGCTATTTTGCATAATTATTTATTTGTGTAATGTATTTAAAAAAAAAACAAAATTGTATATTTTAATAAGTTAAGCAAAATAAATAAAATAAGTACAGCAAAAACAAAAAATTTTATTATTTGATTTGTATAAATTTAAAACTTTTTTTGGACATTTTTAAACCCATTAAAATATAAATACAACATTTTTTTTAAATACAAAGTGCCAAGTTGGAATTTTAATATCTAATAGTTTTCCCATCGAATGGTAACCCTTTTTGAAACTTTGGCTATAAAACAGACGAGTTGGCAACGCAGCTGGCCAGCCCTCTGTTTATGGCTGCTTCCTTGGCTTAGACAGACAATTTGACTTTTGATTTTGATGAGTGAGCATTTGAATGCACTAAAACACAGGGGAAAGGGGGCAGGGAAAGGGGGCACAAGTGGGTCATTACTGACAGCCTCCGCTCGATGCGGGTTAAGGCTGACTGCTCAATGGCCACGCAAACGTTCGAAAGGACACGAGGCGCAAAGGTTATCCTGCCAGAGGACCCAACCTTACCATGGTGTCGAGGACTCAAGGATTGTGTGTGGGACTGTTATCGTTTATGGGGTTTGAAGGAGGAGTCCTTGGGGATATCATTCGAAGGACCTCCAAGCCTCCTGTCAAATCGGATATCTCTTTGTGGACCCTTAAAATGACTACTACCTGCATGATGGTTCTTGATTTTAAACCACTTAATAATGCCAACTGGTGAGTACTGCAAATAATTCATTTGTTTACTCTTAAAAGAATATCTTGTATTTTTAATAACTAAAAACAAAAGTCAATAACGCCTGTAAAAAATGCAAGAATTTATCGAATTTTGAGTTTGCTTCATTAAAAAAAAAGTATTGAAGTAAAAAAATTCCTACTTAAATATGCCTTTTATGTTAATAATTGCTTTATTGCAAAATTTTCAATAAACTGAGTTATTTAACCAAAATAATTTAATACAGTTATAAATCAAAATCATGGAATGTATATTTTTACTTATATTACCAACAATACATTTAAAAAAGCAAATCCTTACGACTTAATTCGATGGGCTTAGCATGGTAATAAAATAAAACTTTAATATAAATACAACTACGACAGAGATATTTATTACTCAATGACAACTTAAAATATACCGGAAAGGAATTAAAGGCTCTCTTTTGTTTTTTTTAGAGGTTACTGAAACAAGTGTGTCATATTGCACTTAGAAAAGAGAATCAGAATGCTAGTATGTTCAAAGTACAAGACAACTTTTTGCCTTCTTCCCCAGTGATTTTTCAGAGACTGAATATATGGAATACCAATGGTAAACAGGACACGACCACTCCCTCCTCAGTGTTGTAAATTGGTGTAACCGAGTGTTTGGCTTCTTGGGTAAACAGAACTTAATCGAATGCAACTGCACTTGCATTCGGGTTCAAGTCAACTCGTATCGCCCGCTGTGAGTCCAGGAACTATTTTTCCACACCGCTTTTCTCCGGACCACTTTTCTCCATCGGCAAATGCACAATTTTGCCTGCAAAATGCATATTTGTGGCATCCATTTGTATGGCTTTGTTGGTTCCAAGTCCGAACCGAAAGATAATCAAATACGCATTTCTCTTTTACTCCCTCTAATGAACGAGGATAGATGTGCCCGTTTGGATTTTTGGAGGAAAAGGATATTCTCAGGGGTCACAACGAAAATGGGATTCTTAGCTTTAAACTTTATGTCGACTTTGTGAATTACATTCAAAAATAACTTTCCTTACAGTAATTTAATATTAAAACCGATTAGTTCTCATCATTATTTGCATTTATTGCTAAAAACGCTAAAACTAAAATAACTTGAAATTTACATTTCATTTAAGTGATTTCGGTATTAGAATAATTAAAAAAAAGTATCGTTTTTTTAATATGCATAAAATAAGTTTTCTGATTATAATCAAATATATAAATTGTTAAGTTGGAAAAACAATGTAAGTTAAATACTCTTCATATGTGAAAAAAGTAAAAACATTAACTTTATCCAGAAAACTTGCAATAGGAGCCCAATATCGTAAAAACTGTGAATAAATGCACATGTTAATAATCAAAAAAATCATTAATAAATGCCAATGTGGGATACTTTAAATAATTTCGACTCATTTGTAGCTATTTGTGGGCCCATTTGTGAGCCTTAATTTGGCTATTGATTTTGCCAACTTTGGTGGGCAACACTGTTGATGGCTGGGCCCAAATGGAAAAACTGCTCAGCATCAATTGCAATTTAAAAGTGAAGCTTGCATTGGCTGCAACGAAACTTTGCTAACGAATTAAGAGCAAAATATTATATGCCTGGCAAAATGTTGCATAAGGGGGGAGGGGGAGGGGGAGGTTGGAGGTTGGAATAAAAGGGGCGGGACATGGGCATGGGGGCGTGGGTGTTCGGGGGTGCACGCAATTATTTTGCATGCTCCATTTTAACAATTTGGAGAAAGAAATGTGAGCCAGTGCAATGCGAAAATGAATGAATGAATGGGCGACTGAATGCTCGCTCCATCTCGCTTCCACTCGACAGCGGAATGTGGGGCATTAAAGCCTAGAATCCGACATTTTCATATGCATGCTTAAGTACGTTGAGCAGCAGCAGCAACAAAAGCAACAGCAACAACCAACTACCAACTGCCAACAACCAACATCCAACCAAATGCCACAAGGAGCCAAGAAAATATTGAGTTAACCCAACCGGCGCTGCCCTAAAAGTATGCAATGAAATGTTATTTTCCTCATTTCCACAGAAACTTTCCCTCCCCCACCGCTTAACCCTTGCTCGGTGGCTGGGGGCGCCTTTAACCCCCTGGCGAAACTTCGTAGCGATGCGGCCGCCTTTTGAGATGGTCTCCTCCAGTCTGGTCTCATATTAATTGCGGCCCACGATGCTCACTTAGGAAATTACCGCAAAGAGATAATATCTGTTTGTGGGATACATGGATGTATATCAGCAGACATCTTAATTTCTATTTTTAATTCAAATATGTTTGGGGAAAATTCTTTAAAATCATATTCGTGAAAAAACTTCTTCTATTTTCAAATTGCAAGGTTTGTAAATATTTACATTTATTTAGTTTACTATTTCCTAAACAAAATTATTTTAAGAACTTTAGAATGAACTATTAATTATTTAATTATTGTTTAGAATTTCATGCATTCATAAACTTTTTTTATTTTTTAAGCTTATTTATAGGTTTTCAAATTTTGTTTTGAGTATTTCAGTTGGTTGTAATTTTCCCTTAAAACCATGACCGAAAGAAAGTTTTTCTAAAATTGACGATAAATATTAAGTTTTTAAATAAAAATTTACAAATATATTAAATAACATATACTTGAGCTTAGCAAAGATATTTATGTTGGCTTAATAAGTAATTGAATGTTTAATTGTTTATCAAAGAAAAACGTGTTCAATGTTCTAACACTGACATGTTAAATACTTTTCAATAAAATATTTTTTTGTTTGTTCCAAGGTAAGTATGGATTTTGTAATATTGGTTTTACATATTATGAAATAGCACCTGGAAAGTCGATTTAAAACCGCCACAACTTGTTTAACCCGCGACACATTTGTACAACCACAGATATGTTTGCCTTTGACAGTTAATGAATTACAAATTGAGACGGAGCGTAACCCTTTGTTTGGTATTCCGCCTTCGATATTGTTTCATTTGAATTCAGCATTTTCAGTCTGTGGGTTTTGCAGGACGCATTTCCTCTGACATCAATCGTTCTGCTGCCGCCGCTCATTGTTTCAGCCGCAATATTTATGCAGACGAGGCGGGGTGTAACAAATATGTAAGTATGTGTGTGGCATGCCACATATATATATAGAGTGGCATAGAACGGGGGATATCGGGGAATTCGGCTGGGGTTCATATCCAATGACAATGGAAATGGCTCTGCGAACCACAAGCTCTCTATGCCCTCTTTCTCGTGCCGTTGTCAACCGCAAAACGTTTAATTACATGTCAAAATGCGAAATGCATTGAACAAGACAGGAACCATAACACTCAGCCCCTGCCCCTCCTCTCGCCCCCTCTTGCCCCGAATTTTCCATTTTCCATTTTCCACTTCCTCCAGCATCCAGTCGCTTCCTGAGCCGCTGCGTCATCATCAGCGTTGTTTTATAGATAAAGCAGCGTTACAGCTCCAAATTTCGTATTATGAGTGAACATGCAAAAACAACCACATTACCAACACAGAGCATAGACCAAAAACATGACACACACACACACACACACTGGTGGTTCACCCCCACTTTAGAAAAAACACCCCCTCGAAACAACACCCATGTAAGTGACTTTCTGGCAGCCAGGGGCGTAGTTTTTTTGGGGCAACTCAGAGTCACACATGTGCCTAAACCGCAACTAAAGGGCTTACAAAAATTATCTAGATATAAAAAAGAAGGCTAGAAAATTATATTAAAATTATAAACACAAATTAAGCTCAATAGAATGGAGGGTTATGGTATATCAATAAAACAACGTGCTTATATTCTCTGCAGATTACTTAATACATA